CCCCCAAAACCCCAAAACCCCAAAACCCCTTGGAACTCACAATTTTTGAGTTTTATTTATAATTATTAAGAAGAAGAAAATAATGAATGCAGCTTGGGGAACTTTGACGAACATCATTATGAACAAGGATGAGGGTAATGCCTATTAGGAATCTTTAGGTCAATTTTATCAAGCTCTAGAGCAGATATAGAAAGTTTTCATGAAAAAGGTAAATGCTGTGATGAATGAGGGTTTTTAGTTATCAAGACTAAGAAAAATAAGAAGAAATTGAGTAGACTTTTTAAAAATCGACTATCTGTGAATCAAACCTCAATGAAAAAGTGTAAGCAGGCAGTTTAGGCAGAGTCTGATATATAAAAAGGCTTTAATTTTTGAAGGTGTTTTAAAAGTGGTATTTAAGGTTTTATAGCGATTAATTTGGATTTGAGTCTGGGTAAAAACAATTTACTGGAGAATCCGTTCTTGAAATAACTTTGTAAGTGAAATTTATCAATCTAGTTTTATCATTTTCTTCATTTACCATTCCTTATATAGCCAACCAAAGCTCGAGATATCCTAATAAAGACCCCAAGTCAAGGTATAATTTCTCAATCAAATCTAGATCTTCTCAGCAACAAATCAAAGGTAAAGAAACGCAAAAGGAAGAATACCGAAATTTTCACAAAAGCTAAAAGTATTTCACAAGATGACCCTAAAATAGGTGTTGCAAAGTACTCAAAGAACCGCCTGAAATACCTCTAAAACAGAAATATCTTCATGGGAATCAAAGTTTTGAACTTAAAATAAATCCCAAAATTAACATAAAAAGGGTAACTAAGGAAAGGAACAGGCCTCTTTCCTCTTACGTCAGTGTCAAGGAGAGGCATTTTATTTCCCACTCTGGAGAAAGGCCTGCTTTTGACTCCTTTTTGTTAGCTGAGAAGAAAGCGCATTCTAGGTAATTTTTAATTAACCAGCATAGATCTTTTAATAAGACACACTCAAGGAGGCCCTTGAGCGGATTTCAGTTTCGAGACCAAAAGCCCAAATTTTTGAAAATTACTAATTCTAAAGAACTTCTTGGAGACCAGCTTAGTAAATTTTTGATCTTTAAGAACGGAAAATTGAGGAGAAAGAAAAGGCTGAGTCGGAAGAAGTTACGTAAGAAATTGTGCTTGCATGCGCCGATTACTCCTATATTTACACAAATGCCTAAACGGAAGAACAGGAATAGCAGTTCAATGTATGTGTTTACTAAGTCTCATGAGTCTATACTGCAAGTCAAGTAAATGGCTTTGTTATGTCAGAATGACCTGTGATACCTTTTTAACATTGAAATCTTCGAATTACATTTTGATATGTAAGTTTCAATACAGAAATATTGAAATGGGGTTTTGGGGTTTTGGGGTTTTGGGGTTTTGGGG